CCATGGGGCTCTGGGGTGAGATGACCCTTCAGAGTTGTCACCATCTGAGGCAAAGGGGCTGGACTCTATACACTCCTGCCATCAGACAGTCGCTGGCTAGGGTCTGCACACAGGAATGGGGCATAAGCTTGCACTAGGCAGCTCCCTTTCTCAGGGAAATACCTGGGCATAATTTTCTAGAACTACCATAGGAAACTGCCACAAACTTCATGACATCCTGGTCCAAAAGATATGTCTACATCCTCAACCCTGGAAACTCTGCCCTGATTTGAAAGAAGAGTCCTATGGATGTAATTAGGAATCTTGAGATGAGATTGTCCTGTATTATCTGGGTGGGCACTAAATCCAATAAGAAGTGTCCTTATGAGAGACACATGGAGGAGAAACATGGAGTAAAGAGGCTGTGAAGGCAGAAGCAGAGAGTGGAGTGACAGCCACAAATCAAGATATGCTTGGAGCCACCACAAGCTGGAAGAGGGAAGGCAGTACCCTCTCCTGAAGCCTGCAGAGGGAGCACTGCCCTGCCGCACCTGGATCGTGGACCCCTGCCATCCAGAATGACGACAGAATACATTTCTGTGGTTTATTTTTCTAATGTAAATGTTATAACTTCCCTAGGAAACGAAGTCCTGCGAAGCACTGAGTGCTGAGCCCTGTAGGCCGCTCGCCAGAGGCTGGAGCAGGCGCTGTGGTTCTGAAAGGAGAGACCTGAGGGGTGACTGTCAGTGTCCTCCAGCCCACAGTTGCAAGTCTTCTTCAACGGGGCTCCTTTATGAAGTAGGCTCTGTCCTTTGGTGAATCCCCGTTCATACGTACCTTTCATTCAACACACGTTTATGCAGCACCTGCTACTGCCAGGGACCAGGGGAGGCTTCAGGCACGCCAGAGAGGACAGAAACAGTCACTGCCCTCAAGTAGCTCACAGAATGACAGACAAAAAAGAAACTTTCAAAAGGCCCGAAGTGTTTGGTGGAGACAAATCCTAAGAAGCATCATCTAACATAAGGAAGGGATGCAGACTGAAGGTCTGGGAGAGGAGAGTGGCTCTCTACTGCGTCCCAGGTGAGAAGAGCTGGCTGGGGAAGGGCGAGGAGTTTGGAAGACAGTTGGTCTGGGCAGCAGGAAGGATGTGTACATTAAAGACTCAGTGAGGAAGGAACTGGCTGAGAACTTCTCCCTTCCCCACCCACCTTCACGCCCCTCCCCACTTTTACCCCCCACCCTTACCCCACCCCCCACCCCCTACTGGAGCTGAGCCTAGAAACACCCATGCAGGGCTACTCTCTCCAAGTGTGGTCCTCAGCCCGGCATCACAGTCACAGGCACCTGACCAAACGTGGAGCTCCTGGCCTGACACAAGGTCCTTGTGTCTGAGAGAATTCACATCTTTCACAAACCTGTCCTGTGAGTCTCTTATGTACAAAGTTCCAAAACCACTGCTCCCAAGACCCTGTTAAGATAATAGAACCATGCACATTTTCTTTCTCTCTTTCTTTCTTTCTCTTTCCTTCTTCTCTCTCCTTTCTTTTTTCTTTTTCTTTCTGTTTTCTTTTTCCTTCCTTCCTTCCTTTTTTTCTCTTTCTCTTTTTTCTTTCTTTCTTTCTTTCTTTCTTTCTTTCTTTCTTTCTTTCTTTCTTTCTTTCTTTCTTTCTTCCTTTCCTTTCCTTTCCTTTCTTCTTTTTCCTTCCTTCCTTCCTTTCTTCCTTCCTTCCTCCCTTCTTTCTTCTTTTCCTTCTCCATTGGACAAGTTCCATAATGTACATTTTTTATTTGTAAAAATAAATTATTTCAAACTCTCCCTATTGGTAATGTAAGTACTATATAAAGAGGTGAGTAATGGATTTCAAAACAAATCTAATTTTTAAAACTTTTATTTCATGGATATACTATATGCATATATATGGATGTATAGATATATGTAATTATTTAACATTAGCCTATCTCTGAGTCTGTGTAGGTGTCCTAATTAGTTTTCACAATTAACAGATAACATCTGATGGAAATATTTTCTTTCTTTCTTTCTTTCTTTCTTTCTTTCTTTCTTTCTTTCTTTCTTCTTTCTTTCTTTCTTTCTTTCTTTTTTCTAGCATTCATAGTTCAATCGCTTAGCACAAAAGTTAAAACTGGATAAACACAGGCAGGATTTGTCTGCCTCTGGCATTCCAAACCCAGCGCCATCTGTGTTGACAATAGCTTGAAGTACAGACCATCAATTGGTGCTGAAGATCTAAAAGGATTACCAGCAATAAAAGTCTCCCTGGACGGACCACCATCCTAAAAGCCGGCCACCACTCAAAGTTCATCTCATGCTTGCCTCTGAAGGTAATTGCTGCATCTGCTTCTGGAAGTAGCTGAAACCAACACACGCCTGGCTTCTATTTTGTGAATAGCAAGCCGCTTGGAGCGGGAGAGTGAAAGAGATTTGAGCACAGCCAGCCCGGAGTGCGGCCACGGGTCAGAAGTGAAGACACAAACAACTGCTTCTTCAATAGAACCATCAGCGCTTCTCCAAGCTCCTTGCACTTGTCCACAAACTGCCAAGCAGGGGCTATTGTGTTATTTTTATGCTGTGGGAACTTTGGCCTTAAAAACAAATGGACGAGCTTAACTATGCAGTGTCAATCAAAGCTGCTGGGGTCGAGGGTGGGGGTGGGGAGAGTGTTAAGATTTTAATTAGTTTGGGTAGCTTTCTGTTTGTTGTTTTTTCACTCTGTGATCACTGCGGTTGACTTTGTTTAACTTAGTACATTCAGGTGAACAAAATTCCATATGTGTTTTATCACTGGGCTTCTTTTTTTTCTATTTTCTTGTGCACTGGCAGCAATCTCAGATCTTGGGTGTTGATTCACTGTCTTTTGGCAACGATGCACTGGCCCAGACTGATACCTGTGAGAATCCACCCAGTGCATTCACAGATTTCCCATAAGGAATACTTGTCAGAGCCTCAACCAAGTCAGGTACTTGGTTTTTTCCCCATGTTCTGTAACTTGTTCATTAATGATTTTGGCTCTGAAGCAAAAGAAACATGGGGAAGCAACTAAGAGTAGTAAGTGATGCCTCATTTTCTCTTTCCCAAAATAAAAGGTGATAAACCAATGAAGTATACATACGGAGAATGATGACACTGAGACTGCTGCCACGCTGGCCTAAGTTGTGATGCAGAGGACAACAGAAAAACTTTTATGGATGAGACTCAAAAAACCTCCAGAATTTCTTGCTTACCATGGAATCTGTTTCATGTGTCATTGGTTACGTGCATGAACTGTGGTTGGAAGTATGAGGACAAAGATTCACACAGCCAGGAGTGATCTGAACACCAGAAAGTTTCCCTGGAGAGCACATTCCAGGAGGACACAGAGCAAACCTTCCAGTTGTTCACAGGAAAACAGCCTCAGTCCCCAACCAGCCGGGCTTCTCAGACCCTGGCATGAAACCGCCACCTTCTATTTACAAACAACAACAACAACAAAACATATAAAGACAAAAACGAGTGCAATAACAGGAAAGGAAACTTTCTTAGCCCTGTCAGATAAGTGCAAAATCGGCCTTTACAAATGAGAAGGAGGCTGCATTCAGGGTGTCTGAGGAAATCTGCACAAAGATCATCTATGACAATATTTAGGTATTGACATGATGCACCTAAAAATGAATGAAAATAATATCTAGGTTTTAAAAAGCCCACATGAGCCAAATAGCAGTACCTAAGACAATTGTTTAATTTTTTTCCAAAGTATAAACTCCAAAATCAATCGAGCAGTTTGATGTTAGCTAATAGAAGAGAACAGTGAGAGAGTTTTAAACAGGGAAATCTAGCATGTGGAGCTCTAGGTACAAACAAGGGGAGGAAAGACAAAAGGAGTTTATTCCAAAAAAGGTCTAAAAATGTATCGTCCTCAATCTCCAACTGCCCCTCAAACACAGCTACATTGTCAGGAGCCCACGGTGGTTAGCATGAAGATAACTTCCCATTTAAAGTACCTGCTATGAAAAAAATTATAAAACTAAACGGCCAACAATAAAAAGCTGATGAAGTACACTACAATGTAAATGATGGAAGAACAATGAAATTAGAAAATATTCTCATTATAGTATGTAAAGAGAAATGACGGAACAGAATCCTGTTTTGAAAGCCACTGCAATAGGCAGATGTGTATAGAGCTACTTAAAGAGCTCTGTGTGCACAGAAAAGGAGCTGAAATTAGCCAAACCCAAATGTTCACAGTAGTTATTACCGGATGATGAGATCACGGATAACTGTTATTTTCTTCTTTGCATTTTTCTTTGTTTTTTTTTTTTCAAACTTTCTAAAGAGAATATGTATCTGCTTTTAAATCAAATAGTATTTTTTAAAATTTGAACTAATTTCATTTTCCCAAATCAAAACCTTAGGCTATTACAATATTCCTTTAGAAATGATCTATTTTATTAATGCCAGACTTTTTATCCTATAGTTTTCAGATGAACATTAATGTACATAATTACTATTACGTATTAATAAGCAGTTGCTTTACTGATAACGCAATTGTTTAACGGAATTATTAAATTAATGAAATTATTTCCTATAAGAAGGATTATGTTACTATTTCTATGACTCAACTTGTGACTTATTGAAGGTTAACAGAGGATTAGAAGGAATAAAAAATGTAACACGTTCCTCATGGACAATATTGGAACAGTTTTCATTTCCACGTTGAAGTGAATACTTCAATGTGCACACGTACAGACACATCCAAAGTTCCAAAAATTTCAGTCATCTCTCAAAACTTATATATATTCAAAGATACAAGCCTTAAAACCATCACAGATGCAACATGCATAGGAAATAAATATGAATTTTCTGTTGTTATTAACAATGACTCATTCTGAACAGCCAAAAGAATTTTTTTCAAATGCAATTTAATCATACGTAACGCCTTGTTACCTTACCTTGACAAATAATAAATGCAAAAATATAAACCCAAGGGTCATGTTTATGAAATGCAGAACCACAAGTCACCCACCAGACTGGTATGAAGAAACGAGATTTTCAAAATGCGTTCCATTTAAACAATTGTAGGATACATCGCAGCATCAAGGACAACTGAAAAACAACAACAAAAAAATACAGCCTCTCTCTCCTGCTCACACACGCAGCCTTACTTTATTTCAAATATTTCCCTGTTTCCCTTTGCCAAGATATTGCTTTGGAAAAAGAGTGCTTTGAAAAAGGCAGCCACTGCAAGTAAGATGAAATCCTTTATATGGCCTATCTGCTAATATCCTCATATCGTATGTTCTTTATCAGTTTTGTTTTAATTACATATTCAATACTGATTTCGAATGACAATTCCACTTCCACACAGAAATACTCTTATTTCCAATACTCCAAACAATAACCAAGCTGGTTTCTTCTCTCCATTACTCCACCTTGATTCTTTCCTATTTTTCATTGTGACACACACAAAAGACCGTTAATATCCTTGCTACAAATTGACTCTTAGTTACATTTCTCTTCAGTTAATAGCTTGGAGTAGGCAGGCATGAGACCATAAAAATATAATCTTTAATCTTAAGGACTTCCCGTCCAGGAAGGCTCAGGGCAGACCAAATGGCACCAAGTGAGCAGCCTGACCTGAGGTGCTCCCGGCGTGAATAAACAACCCTGATTAAGAGTTACATTCTGCTAGGGACATTCTCAATGTTTCTGGGACAGAAACAGCCATCTTGCCTACACTGAAATTTCAGTTTGTCTCCCCTGGAATAAAATAAAGCTTGTTCACAGGGTGAATGCGCCAGAGTGTGGCATTTCCTTTCCTGGGTTAGAGAAACACAATAATTCTGTTATGGTCCTTCCCACTTGCACGCAGAAACGACCAAAAAAAAAAAAAAGAAAGAAAGAAAGAAAAGAAAAGAAAAAAAAGAGGGGAGGTGCGAAGCAGTTTGATTTAGACCCAGCTGTTAGTTTTTCTTGCAGCTCCAGTGTCCTGAACATTCGCCTGGTTGCATCCCCCTTTGCTTTTCAAAGCTTTTACAATGTCCCTCTGTGTCACAATGGAAGCCGCGCAGCCTCAGCCACAGCTGATGAGCTCCTGCATCTTATCATACCTTTTGAAATCACGCCAATCTAGCACTTCACACTTTCTTCAGCTTCTCACTCTGGATTCTCTCCTTTGCCCATGAGAAACACATACTCTTCTGAAAACAATGGGCTGTAAAATGAGAAAAGTTAAGAATCAGCATTAATTTCTCATAAATCTAATTTCCAATTTCCCACCAGTCTGAGTTCTGGTCCAAACTCTCACACACACATCCTGTGGGAAATGCTTGTTCATGTCCGTAGAACTAACCTAATACTCGGTTGGTTTTTCTCCTTGGTGGAAAGAAATACTATAATTCAGCAGAAGAACTGTCCAAGGAGGTTGTTAGAAATGAGTAGATCTATTATAATTTATTTTTTTATCATGACTGGGTGCAGGAAGGCAGATATACTTATCTATAGAAAATGCATATGAATATTTTTCCTTTTTTGAATATGTTTTTCATGCTAATTTGCAGTAGCGTGGGAAGAGCGTATTAAAACTATATTTTTACCATTCTGCAGAAAGACGTAGTAAAGACATTTAAAAGAAAGCATGATAATATGAAATAGTTGTTCATGAGACATCATCTGAAAGTGTTTTACTCATTTTGATACAACAGAGAAAAACAAGAAAGAACAGCCTAGAAAGAAGTTGCTGTCATTGGAGGGTCAGATTCAGTATGAACCCCTTATTTTAGACTTCTTTGTCTCAAACTCACGTTAAGGAGACATTTTACTCATCACAGTAGTATATGCTATTTCTATTAGTTTGAACATTTTTCCTTACTTTTATGATGAAAAATAAATGGGTAATGCTGAACTCTAAGAAATAAAAATATCTTCTTTTAAAATGTGATTCCTTTAATATTTCTGTCTTCCCATCTTTTCCAGTCATATGGTATGAGTAACATTTCTTAATCAGATGTCATTTTTCAGATCTACGAGCGTAAGTACGCTTTCTTCTATAATATCTCTACTAGGACAGCTCAAGTATACCATGTATAATGTTTCTGGTATCATATCACATTCGGTAAGCACAGATTCTATAACTCATCATAAAAAATTGATAGCAACTTTGATGATACAACATAAACCTGTAGTTGGAAAATAAAAGATATAAAGTGACTTATTTTTTTAAATAAATACAATCTTGCTAATGTCTATATGTCCTAGAACAACAACAACAAAAAAAACCCATGAAAAATTAGTTTCTGTTGTTTCTATTAATAGTAACATAAGTTAAAAACAAGTAGTGTGAGTAGAGAGAACCTGGGACAGTAACTGGGAGCCCTGGGTTTCCACCTCGACGAGGCCAGCATGACTGAAACAAATCATGCCGCTTCTCTGGGTCTTAATTTCCTCCTCTGTGAATCTTTTCTAGGGTGTACAAGACCCAAGCTAGACCCCAAGGCCAACTCTCCTATGGTACACCTGGCGCTGTTTCAATGACTTTTCTTGTACTCCCTCAGTTAATCCTCCCAGAAACTCACGAGGTAGGCACAATCGGACAAGGACATGGTGGCATAGAGGGGCTAAGGCAGGCTCTGATGTAGCAGAACTTTGATTCAAACCCAGGCCAGCTGCAATGTCTGAGGTGCTGGCTGCTGCACTGCATCGCCTTTTATTCTACAGCTATAGCTCGCATTTGAAAGAGATTAAGAAAAGGCATCATTGGCCAGAAAAGACCATAAGGCTCTTTTACAAATCAAGGAGACTCACTCTGCAAGCCATACCCTCATTTGACCATAGTGAGTGTGGTCAAATGTGTGAGTTTGGTCCTGTTATTGTGTCTGGAGGCTGCCTGGGTGCAGGTAGAGTCTCTCAGGGGCAACAAGAAGTTTGAGTGGCCAGGTTCCACTATCTCATCCTCAGTCTTTTCATTTCAGAAACTGATTAAACAATAAAAATATATAGGATGGCCAGAGGTGATTATACATCTAATAGCACATTCACACTTGGAAGATTGACAGTAAATTGTTCCACAAACCCTAGAAACAGTTGACATCTACAAGGGAGCCATGTCTTCCAAGTACCCACAAGATCCTATCCCCATATCTAGGACATGGCTCTCCCCCTTTCAGTGGCACTTAAGAAGTCAAATTATTTCTCCATAGCTTATTTAATACATTAATCTAAACAGAAGTAAGAGAAATGTTTGGAAGATGGTGTTTGATCTAAGCTTTGGAAGGGCCCAATGAATGTCCCAACTCTCTGGAGACTGGAGGGTAATGAAACTGCTTTTCTTTTTCCTTTCTTTCTTTCTTTTTTTTTTTTTTTTTTGAGACGGAGTCTTGCTCTGCCGCCCAGGCTGGAGTGCAGTGGTGTGATCTCGGCTCACTGCAAGCTCTGCCTCCTGGGTTCACGCCATTCTCCTGCCTCAGCCTCCCGAGTAGCTGGGACTATAGGCGCCCGCCACCTCGCCCGGCTAGTTTTTTGTATTTTTTTTTTTTTTAGTAGAAACGGGGTTTCACCATGTCAGCCAGGATGGTCTCGATCTCCTGACCTCGTGATCCACACACCTCAGCCTCCCAAAGTGCTGGGATTACAGGTGTGAGCTACTGAGCCCAGCTGAAACTGCCTTTCAAAAATCTTGATGGTAAAACAAATCTGACCTGACCAACTCCCATCTTGCTTCTGACCTCCAAGTTGCCTTTGTTCTTTCGTGGGCATAGGCTGTGAAAGTTACAGTTTAACTTTGAAACCAAGATGATAACAGCCTCTTCCAGAAACAAACCCCCTCCTTTGCTTGGGAATTAGGCTTTTGTAGAACTAACAAATTCATTGTAAGATTGGAAATTATGGCTCAGAAGTCATGCAGCCAGAGGCCATAATATTCCTAACGTCCCCAGTGGCTCCTGTGGATAAAATTGCCATTGTAAAACCTAAGATTGGTGTTCAAGGTATTTTTTAGACCCTGCCTTCTGATGGACCAACTGATGCCACCCAGGTGGGTAAACTGGTTCATCGGGTCTTGTGGCTCCCATCCAGGGGCGGACAGTGCAAAAAGACAGCTTTGATTCCTTATGCTTTTAACTCAGCCCCAGCCAATCAGCACTCCCCATTCCCTACCTCCCTGCCCACCAAACTATCCTTAAAAAACTCTAGCCTCTGAATTTTCAGGGACACTTATCTGAGTAGTAATAAAACTTTGGTTTTCCATTTAAATGGATCTGTGTTTATCAAACGTTTTTCTATTGCAATAACGCTGTCTCAGTAAACTGGCTTTTCCGGACAGCGGGCAAGATGAACCCATTGGGTGATAACCATCTTGTTCCTCCAAGGCTGAGGTTATGCTTTAACCTGGGGCAGGAGGGGCATGAATGATCTTTGCTCCCCTAGCCCTCTCCTTCTAAGCTGATCATCCTCTTTTTACCCATGGATTCCTTCTAGTTTTGTTTGCAGATCCTCGGGGACCTTAATTAAACTGGCACTAAGTTGCTAAGTGTGGACACCACCTTCCCCTGTGAGGTGTTTTTTTTTTTTTTTTTTTTTTGATGGATTCAGCTCTAGGTCTAGGACCACCCAAGGTCAGAGCCCCCAGTAACCTGTAACACAGTGGATGTACAATAAGTACACAGGACATCCCTGTTATTTTCTCTTGCCATTCAAATTTTCTGTTTCTGCAGTGGAATTCACCATCTTCTAGAAGATTTAAACAACAGATATTTTTAAAAAAAGATTAGTAACTTAATGCATCTCATATTTTATCGGAATTAGTAAACAAACGGTGACAATCACAGCTGTGATGCACAGCAGGATCCCCAGGCGAATCTCAAAACACTTGATGTTTCCCAGCGGACTCCTGCCTGTTCTTCTTAAAGGTACAAAGTCACAGACTTTAAAAGAGGCCTACTTGTAGTCTACCATTTGTGTGTGTGTGTGTTGGGTTCGGGGCGGGGGGTTGTAGAGTGAGTGTCTAGAACCCAAACTTCTTATTTTCATCAATCCATGTTTCTTTTCAAACATTTCAAAATAGTGAGACAGACGCCCATTTTGCTTTCAAATACCTTTTATACAAAATATTGTCTATTCTAAGCTTGGATATATCATTTGTTTGTGCTCCTTTTAGACAATTAGGATAATTGCTTGAAGATTTAGGAATTGATATAGCAGGCAATTGCATTATTTTATATGTTCAGCCATATCTCTTTCTAAAATAGTCACACTGCGTCTGAGATCTATTGGGAGTGCATGCCCCTTCTTTCTGTATCACATGGTGGCTCTCCAAACTAATAAAATGACCTGCTCTTAGTGACAAAGGACCCGATGACTTTTTCAGAAGAGAGTGGACTCTAGATATGCTGTTCCTGCCCAATGATTCTGACCTGGCATCATCCTGTCATGATGATAAATTGTATGTACAATTTATAGTTGGAGCAGATGGGAGAGTGTAGGTTATTAAAATCTAAAGCTGTCTCCTGAACAAAAAGAGAATTGTTTATCTTTCAATGAAACATAGATTTCTTACAGAGGAAATTGTGACTATTCCAGTTTTCATAAATAAAGCAATTATGCAAGTTAGAGACACCTAGGCTAAAATAGAATAAAGATTGTTTCTAAATGATGTAATTTACTAAGTTCATTGAATGCCTGTTAGCATCCAGTAATACAAAAATTTGCCAGAAAATATGCTGTAATAATAATCAATATTTCTCTTTCCATTAAATACCTAATTTCTGGGCAAGAGCCTTATGTCATGTTACTTAAGCTCAAGCATATAGAGAGGCTGTTTTTAGATGTGCTGTACAATGTCAAGAAGGAGATGGAATACATTTTGGCTTGAAAAAAACTAATTATAATCAGAAATTTACTAATTTTCAAAGGTATTCAAAAACTCAGATTTTAAAAGGTAAGCCCATAGATGAGGGAAAAAGAATGTAAAAGCTCAAATAAACTCCCATGTCAATTGGCCTTCGGGTTTTATTTCAGCTACAGCTTAACCCAAATCAAGGGCTTTCAGATCCAAATGTATTGACTTATTCACTTACTCTTAATTCAATGACTAGTGATTGAGATCTAGGCATATTATGGAAACTTCTGGAAAACTATCACTAACCATGTTATTGATCTCAAAAGTCACCTCAGTTACAGAATTCCCTCCAGGGAATTAGGTGTACTTTTGGTGAAGCTGAATGGCATTATTCACCTCCATTGAGCAGATGGCCTGAGGAAGGCATCCATTAAAAATGTACATCTACGTATTACCCTACTCTGTGTTGAACATTTTTCACTCATTGTCACTTTACCTCCATAATTCTGAGAAGTAGCAGGTGTCACTGCCACACTTCACAATGCATCAACTTGCAACTTAAGCAAAGAATACTTTCCCAATGTCATAGTAATATCAGGAGGCAGGACTGGGACTTCAACTCAAGCTTGGCTGGCCCCCAAGTCCCCTTCTCATCTCTTCGCACCACTGTCTTCAAGGGAAAAGGATGAAGCTCTCCACCTAGGCCATAACACAACCCAAACCTCTGAATTTTTACAGAAGAATGTACGCAGAAAGATTACAGAAGAATGTTCCACTTAATGTTGGTGTACGGTTTCCTTTAATGACTGAGCAGTGGATGCATTTGGTTTTTAGAAAATTTAACTGCAAATTCCTGTGGGCCAGCTCTTGCCAGAACTTACCATCCAATACTTGAAGGGACAATCTAAGGCGCATTTGACTCACACATTCTTCTAGATTTTCCAAGCCTTATTACTTAATAATCATATCATCCCAAAACCAAGCAATTAGATTACATTATTTTCACTTTTTTTCATAAAATTTATCACACAGGTTGAAATTTAATGTAGTGTCCTGGGATCTGAGGGGATGGTATGAAAGACATTCATTAGAATAATTTTCACTCACTTAACAAATTTTTAGTAAGTGCTTCCCTATGCCAGCCCTGCCCCTGAAATATAAAGTTGAGCAAAAGCAGATTTGGTTTCTACTCTTATAACACTTACATTCCCTTAGTTCAAAACACAGATAATAATCACACACACATTACTATTATAATAACTACTTAGATGGAGGGAAACATGATGTTCTGATGATGACTAATAATAGCCTTTGATTTAAGTAGGAAATTCTGCAAAACCATGGTTGAAATGACCCAGCAGAATATATTTTTGTTACGATCCATGTATGACGCATACTTTGTAGAATTAAGTCAATTAAAAATAGGTTTCACTACTTTGCTTTGTCCTTTTTTCTTTTCATCTGACACCAAGGACCAAATCTAATCTAATCCAATCTAATCCTTTTTTTAAAAAAACATATTTCCAGAGGCTTAAAGTTAAATTTGTGCCTGAGCATTATTAAGATACAACTCACTCTTTCTTCATTATTTTAATGTAACTGTGGTCTCTTTGTATTTTAATTACTTCACTTTAGGTATGCTTTAACATTTAATATGCCTCAAACTTTTTGGGAAAATTGACAAGTATAAGTAAAAAATAAATAATTAGTAAATTATTTGTTTTTAATTGTCAGTTGATTTTTTATTTATTTATTTATTTTTTTACTGTAACCCTGGTTACCCTCAATTAAAAGCTGCAAATTCCTTTAGGTTTTTGAAAAGATTTCAAAAAAGCATGAATGAGTGACTTCTTAGTAAACTCCAGGGCTGCAGACATCTTGAAATTACCAAGTCTAAAGGGCTTAAATATTCTTCATGAGGAGAAAAAAAAGCAAAACTTTACAATAACCTACCTTTCACTTTTCAACTCTTATTCTTTATACTACAAGGGATAGAACTTGGAATAAAAAAGCCTATCCTTTTCATTACGTTCCACTTTACACTAGAACAGTGCAATCTCATCAGAGTAAATGACTTAGTTCTACCCTGTACACCCAGACTTAGGTAGGAGAGGAGGGAAACCAAGTTCCCAGAAGTCCAGGGCGCCTCTACTGGTGGATGAGGAGGGCACTGAGAAAGCGGCATCAACATCAACATCTTCCAAACAGAGACCACCAGATGGACAGCAAACACCAAGAGGCACACGCACACACCTTCAGTCACTCATCCTTAGAAAAGTGTCCTCTTAGGGGATGCTTAAGACATATTCTTTCAGAGTTACATTAATCACACTTGGGGGAAGTATGAGATTTGGTGTCTGCCTGTTCACTAGCTACTTTTACCAGGGAAATATTTTATTTACCATATTAATTACCTTTTTGATTTTTCCCCTCACCAGTGTATTTTTAATTTTTTTACACCTTGGCCTTAAATAATCTGATATCCTTATGCAGTGACCTTTTGCTGACTTTATAGAATATGATGATTAAAGAAAAATTTCTTTTCCTTACATGACAAAAATACTTAAAAAACATTTGCTGTGCTTGGGAGAGACTCTATTTCAAAATTCAACATTCAAATAGATCCCACTTTTCAATTTTTGCTTTTGTTGCAATTGATTTTGGCGATTTAATGCATGCTGGGCTTCATACCTAGGTAATGGGTTGATATGTGTAGCAAAACACCAGGGCACACGTTTACCTATGTAACAAACCTGTACATCCTGCTCATATACCCTAGAACTAAAAACAAGAAGTAAAAAAAAAAATTCAAATACACAAAACTACAAGGGATTTTTTTCAATCTTTCTCGAAATTAAAGGTGTGCTTATAAAAGTTCAAGGTCCCTTGAATAAGGCCAGGAATGTTTTGACAGCTGCAAACTGTCTAATTCCTACATTCTCCTACCTTGTTAAAATTATGTTTTGGTCACTGAGTTGGACCACTGAGAATGTGCTCCCATTAATCTAGGGGAGCATGGATGATGCTCTATCAATGAATAATTCAGACACAGATATGGCTTGAATGTTTACACGGAACTGTAATGGAAACATTTTATTTAAGTAAACTACTTCCATTACAACCAGATTTTATTGTGTCACAAAACAGATGATTATCCTTCTAATTTCATTTCTGTGTTGGATGTATGTGGAGGCTATTTTGAAAAACGAACTGGTCATACGGTGATCCAGTTACAATAATGTGAACTTGGTCACACTGATAACTTACTCAAGTAGTCTTTTTTGTATAATTATTTATGTTGTACATACATTTTTCTTGGTTGTGAAAGCTTGAAAACTGCAAAGTGAAATTCTTATTGTTCATTTATCTGTTAAACATTAGAATAAGGAATTAAGACTAAAGTATATTCAGATTGGGAGCAATTAATAAGTAGCAATGCTTTCACTATTCCAATTTTAGTACAACTTTTCTAAACAAAATTAAACAAACAAAGAAACCAATTTACACCAACTCTAGCTTGGGAGCTTAGTTTCAGCAGTCCTGGGAAGCCTTCCACTTTTCTAATATTCATTGGCCACAGCTACTTACAGGTAGGTTATTATATCAGTGAATTCACTAGAGAAGCGAGACATAGTCCCTTATATATTATCTAACTTTACTTCCTTTCTTTCAGGTTATGTGAGTTCCCCCCCACACTCAGTGAAAAAAATCGTCACTTTTGCTTCCAAATGTAGCCATACTTTATAATCAGTTATATAATTTAACAGATACAAAGAAGTAGTCATGTGATTGTCAGGGGTTAAAATTTCCATTCCACCCCCAAACAGCAGGACACCAATAATTAATGAAACTGGTCCTCCATGTCTGTGTTCATGGTGACTTGAAATCAGCTGAAAGGTTTCAGAGGCCCGTGGACCAAGCCCCAGGACCAGTGCTTGGGATAATGTTAGTAAAAATACTCCCAGCTGAACATTTCTTCAGGTTTTAACTTCTCTGTAAGAAAGTACATGGTGCCTGAAAGTTTTCTACTTGTGAGTTTCTATCTGCTGCATTTGAGTTGCTTGTTGTGTTCCAGGAAAGTCAAGCTAATCTGATGAACAATTTTCTTTCTCAACTCTTCAGTCTTCATTAATATGATTCTAGCATCATACGCATTGCTAGGTGACATTAGAGAAATGAAATAAGAATTCTAGGCAAAGCTTGTACTAGCAGAATCATGGAATTGCTTACCCATGGATCAACTTTTAAAAAATGGATCCTAGAGAAAATAAGTAGACAGAAGTAATAATGGTAGAAAAAGATGGAGAAAAGGTGCCTGTGAGAATAATGTGAGAAACTCACCTATGATAACTCAAAGTTTCCTTGTTTTTATCTTCAATATGAAGGTCTCATCAAGTCAATCTAAGAAAATGAAAATCATTTTAAATGAATGAAAGATAATACTTTTAGAAAAGAATAATATCAAAAGGTAAATGAGAAAAATAAAATCAAACAACCGTAAAGACAAAATAAAAGGAGTTATGATGAATAACAGATAGTTGAGAAAGCATCATGGTGACAAAATGGTGAGAGCAGAGGACTGCCCAGGAAACCGTCCTTCCACACACCCCCACTTTGCCAGGTGAGAGTTCCTCTTCTTCTCAGGGATAGCGACAGAGTTTCAAAGAGGCAGCAGTAGCAGTTCATTGGTGATCTGTTTTGGAATAATCCTTCCAATATGTCACTGTTCATGTCTACTTGTCAGATTGTCTCACTTTTAATACTTTCTAACCTTTTTTGTTTTAAATGCATACTTTGGCATCAAATTTTTAAAATTGTGACACCATAAGTAGGTTTTAACTATTAAACTTTTCCAAAATGAGATTTCCAAAGGGAGGCACTGATTACTCTGGTTTGGCAAATCCTCCTTTTAAAAAATATTTGTTTTCAAATAAGGTCTGACCTGATTGAAAAGTACCATTACCAGAACTGAAACAGTCATATTTCTGTAAAAACCCAAAGAGCAAATGAAGATATATTTGTGGGGAAGAAAGGCTTTTACTTAAGAATGTTTCCTAGTTTATTGTAAGTGGTTATAAATACTTGCTTAAAGTTCACTTAGAGATACCTAAGAACAACTCTGAGCTTCGGTTAAGCACAGTGAGTGTTGTTCACTAATAACAGTAAAATAATTTGTATTCTGGTTGTGCCTAGTATTTGTTAGTTGTCAAAGTTAAACAAGAAGGCATCAGCCCTTGGCGACCATAGAATGTAAACGAATGGACTGAGAGAAATGCTCTATTCTTATTAAAAAACTGGAGAGATTGGAAATTCATACAAAGATCAGAGGCTCCTTTTTCTTTCTTTAGTGAGTTAATAAGCATTTATTAAACACAATGCTACAGAAAGCTACAAGTACATTGCATTCCGTGGGTTTAGGAAGTGGATGGTGGTCATGCCTTAGGAATGGATGTGAAGGTATGTAAACTTGTTTTCACAAGAAAATTAAAAAGAGGGACTAAAGAATAAACAGTATAACCAGTGTAAGACAAAACGTCATATTTTCTGATGTGAAGGCTCTATTTGAAGAAAGCAAACTGAAGATTGAGATAATTCTATAGATTTTTCATGCATGACAACTATGCCTTTGTGTGACATATTTTAGTCACTGGTTTGGGCTTGTGTGGGTTGTGCAATGCCAACATGCCTCTTAAGCTCTTAAGTTTTTACTTCCACAGGCCATCCTATTTCTTTAGCCACTCTTTTTTTCTTTTCTTTCTTTTTTTTTGAGACAGAGTTTTGTTCTTGTCGCCCAGGCTGGGATGCAATGGCACAATCTCGGCTCACTACAACCTCCGCCTCCCAGGTTCAAGTGATTCTCCTGCCTCAGGCTCCCTAGTAGCTGAGATTACAGGTGCCCACCACCACGCTTGGCTAATTTTTGTATTTTTAGTAGAGTCAGGGTTTTGCCATGTTGGCCAGGCTGGACTTGAACTCCTGACCTCAGGTGATCCGCCCACCCCAGCCTTCCAAAGTGCTGGGATTACAGGCTTGAGCCACCACGCCTGACCTCTTTGGCCGCTTTTATGGTGCTTCTCTAAAATGGTATTTAAAAGAAGGAAAACAAATTGGCACATGCAGTTGTTGGTGAAGACATGTAATCATCTTAGAAATGTGAAGTTTTAATTCTGGCTGATAAATCAGAAGATTCAGTGCTATAAGAAGTTGGGAATCACTGAGGCTTTTGAGAGTTGGGAGAAACAACATAGAGATAAACTCGTGACTTTATTTAAATAAAAAGTGCTACTGAGCAGAGCCTTGACCTTTGCAAAAGTCCTAGAGCAAGAGAATTGAGTCTAATAGAAATGGATGGCTTGGTTACATTAAGGAAAGGCTGACAGAAATGGCTTTAATTATTCTTCCTAGGTATTATTCTGCAGGCATTTTGCCAAGTATATTTTCAAAGAGAAAACGCAAACATAAAAATAAGATGCAAATGGCTCCCAAGTGTACTAGTATGTCTTAAAGAAATTTTATGGGGTTTTATTCTGCTTTTAAATTTGCTACTTGTCCTTAAAGCCATCATGTTTTTCAAAACTCTCTTAAGGTTGAACAGTTAAAATTCCCTCAGCTTTAAACCAGGCTGTCTGCATTTGGCTAAATAATTTTTCCCCTTGTTCTGTGATTTTTACCATCAACTTAAACTCTAAAGTTCAATGTCAAATGGAACAACTGGACTCTCATCATAGGATCTGTGAAAATTGAAGTGCAAACATGAGCTATAGATATGATTTCAAACTGGGTTATAAAGAAAAGATAGGGAATGTAACACACTTCAGTGTCAAGAGTATCTATTTAGGAAATGGAGCCGTTTTTATTTTTAAATCTTTTTTAAATGTCAAAAATGCTGTGGGTGTGTAGAGTGTGATTATTGACAGCTGTTTTTGTTTTTGATAATGTGTCAGCATTTGGTTCCTGTTTACCTAAATCAAAGAAGATAAGGTTTCTTGTGAAGGCTGCCATGGATGTTTACATAACATACCTCATGATTCTGGAAATGAGTACCGCTTCCTGCTCAAGACTGAAAAGAAGAAATGGGATATGTAGTGTTCATACACACTAAAATAACTGCCACAGGTATGACGGACAAGGCCTTAAGTTACACAGCAAATATCATTTCTACCTTCCCACCTGCCTTCCAGTAGTATCAAGTTATTTACTGTTTTGTTAACTTATCATGTGTTTTTGCCTCTTCCTCTTGTCTAGAATATCATTCTTTTTTTCTCTTTTCTCTCCAAATGACGAGCATCCATTCATCTTCAAAGTCCTGATTTCAATGCCACTTCTGAAAGATTTTCCCCAACTGTGCCAAGCAGAAAAAATGATCTCCTTCTCTGCATTTCTATAGCATTTTATAAACACTCACTTTTTCACAACATTATGTGTAGCAGAATTAAATGTTTATGTGTGAGATTCCTGTCCTAGCCCCTGCATTCTCCAAGGGTGCAGCCCTTGACTTCTTCCTCATTACCTCCCTGGAAACCAGTGGCACAGAAACGGACACACTGGGGTCATTCAACACTTTTTTGTTGGATGAATGGGTGAATAAATGAATGAGTCCATTAGTCAGAACCAATGCTATTTAGTTCACCTTGTATCAGAATTAAGTCACAACCCAAGGATCTTAGGGGATTCTTATGCAGGAGGCAAGATTTGATAATCCTCCTTTAAGAATAACCTGACCTAAAGAATTTCTAAAATCTTTTTCAACTCTGATATTCTATGCATTTATGAATTTTAGGGATCTAAGTGGTAAATCATCTCCATCATTCTTTTGTCCATGCATGATATAGGATATGTGAAGGATAATGGAGTCGTGGAATATCTGGACATATTTCTCTCTTTACTGCATTTTCCAAATGTAGCCTAGATGTTAGTGAAATAAACTGAGCTCTCTGTGCTGCAAAACTGTGTTGTACTGCCAGATGTCGAGTCCTTTCCTCTCTACTTCATACACCAAGCATCATAATGTAGCCATTCTTCTCTGCTTATCTCTCCCTCTCTGCCCCACACACTGAATGCTGGATGATTCGTAACAGCTTTTCGTAACCTCCGCTCTGGGAGATTCAACTTTATGTTGACTTTGGTTGTATCGTGAACTGCGTTCTTCAAGATCATCTGTAGTTTTCAAGTGAAGCACTTCATTGCTGTTTCCTTACTAAGCAGATTTTGACATTTGTACAGGAAAAGAGGATCGCTACCAAAATAGCATCTCTACGGAGAAAGGAAATTCACTTGGAGGTAAACATAGTAACTGTTTAAAGATAAGGAAGATGATCATCAACACATTCTTGAGAATAATAGAAATCTTAGCAGAGCACTGCCATTCCACCAGTTCCCCCAAATGGTATTTTCTCTTCAAGCAGTGGAGATTAGTATTGCTATGAAAGCGTATTTATCCAGAAATTTCTCTACAAGCAGTAGAAACTGTACTCTCATAGATGCAACCTGACTGGCCAGACAGAAAACATTTTCCTCTATTGTAAGAAAGTGTAGGCTCTCTGTGTAAGGATTATCTTTGCATTCAGTCTTTTACTTACTTAATAAACTTTTTCCGTGCTAGTCTCTCCATACAAAGTGTTGCAGCTTCTCAAGAATTCTTCTCAGGTCTGGAGTGAAGATCTTATAAAAAGCATATTGGGAATGCTCAGAACAGGACCGAGCATAAAAACAGTTTCTATATTTCCTACCACACATGGGCCATATCAGCTGTGGTAAGAGTAAGTGCTGGCGCTAGCATATAAGCCCTCTTTCTTAAAAAAAAAATAGTGAAGTCATCTTTTGTACATTGTGCCAACTACTAGGAAGTTTTCATTGGAAATATAACTTTAGTTTCTGCTTTCAAAGAACTGCAACATTAACAAATTGCAAGAGTAATATAAAAATATTTAAATAATGATCAAGATGAAAGCAAAGGGTAGATTAATTACCTATAGGGTAGGAGGAAACTGGTTCTTCACAAGACGTGCATAACTCAACATTCGTTAGTTTGAATTCTAACTGACATTCACTAGCAATTTATTTTTCTTAATCTCAGCTCTTTTTATCTTTAAAGTATTCAGAGTTGCTCTAAAGATAAGAACTAAAATACTTAGCAGCAAGTCATAACTACTTTTATAAGCAGAAAAGACTTCACGAATGAGATACCATTTGAGTTCATCCTTAAACGATGTTAGAAGCCAGATAAATATAAAGAAGTGGGGAATGTTTCCACGTGAATCACATCATGAAGACTCAGAGGCCACTCTGCTTACCTTGTTCAAAATGTAGTCTCAAAGTTGTACCTTAGCTGGGTTTAAAATCCTCAAAATTTATTTTCCCCCATATGAAGCATCACTTGAAATCTATCAACCAAGTACAATATAAGAAATTCCCTCTCTGCTTTCTTTGCTTTAGTGGACTAATTACTCTGGCTGAGTTCTAATCCCAGTTTAGTTGAAGCCTCTGTGGGGCTTCTCTCTGTAGTTCCTCACTCCAGATGCCATGAGGATTAACCAATCAATTTGAAACACCTTGTAAAAACACATGAGGCCTACTAATTCGTTTCTGGATTAGTTCCTGTTCAATCCACATTTTTACTGTGACAGGTTTTCACTGCCTATACGATGGTGGCATGCCTGACCCAGAACTCTCAGATGTGTTCACCTGCTTGTCTTGCCTCATTTTAATACTGCAAAAGCAGCAAAAAAACAAAAAAACAAAATAACCAGTACTTCCAAATTCTACTCAAGCAAGAGACTTCCTAGGGTAAGGTTGCTGTGAGGCTCTGTGTGGACCAATTTAATATTGCCTTGCTTCCAATTAGTCCCCCTTACGGAGATGTTGCCAAATTCTCTAAGCCATACAAAAAACACTAAAATTGCAGTGAGAATTAGACTTTGTTGGTTTACTAATCATCACGTCCAGAAAAGCCCAGGGGTTCTCTTTCTAATTTTTTTTTTCATGAGAAGAAAGTGTAAGCAATCATGCCTGTCTATCTTAGAGAACTCCCAGCTATGGCACCAGAGAAGGCCGAGCTCATTAGAGCTGCTGCCTGGCCCGAACCAGCTTCCCATGGACCACACTGTAAGAAATACCATCCCATGGCTCTGCAATATGAGCTTTTCCCAACTGGGAATCAGCCGCACACACTTTTCCACAGATCCTTCAACTCAAAACAAGACTGAATGTGACACACGAGTACACGCAGCAGGCCAGGCAGGGGGAGGGGAGCTGCCAAAACGGATCCTTTTGTCAAATACGTTTTCCCTGCCCAAATGTGTGTACTTCCAGTTACCAAGTAACAAGATGCAATCACATTTGCATTTCTTTCCTAATGTTAGCTGCTAATAGGAATAAAGTTGGCCATCTTCTAGAAATACTTTTCTTGCAGAAAAACTTTTCTGCGGTAAGAGCTGAAAAAAAGCCCTGATTATTGTGTTTAAAAAAAAAGAAAGAAAATGAAGAATAGATTCGACCTTAAAGAAGCATTCCATATTTACTGAAGAAACTGCATTTCCAAGATGTAGCAGAGTAGGGATAATTTGTGCTATAACCTGCAAATGCAATCTATCACAGATAGTCAATCAACCTACTTTTTGTCACTGTCCCTTAGCTGTGCTATACAATATAGCTAAATAAGTCAATGCTGACAATATGTTAGGATTTTATTCTCTAAAAATACTTCTTTCAAGATCTATTTCCAATATACATAAACTTTAAATTAGCAAAACACATGAGAGTTACCATTCCCATGATAACACCCTATTTACTAATACTGATACACAATAATAACTATTCACAAAACTTTGTGCATGGACACCATAGACACAGCTTTTGAGATAAAGTTTTGAAATCAAAACACAGTCAACAAATTTCAAAGAGCCAGCCCTGGTTGAAGAACAAAAAAAGGTGCCTCAGAGCTGCTGATGAGGAATTACACCTCAAAAATCCAGAAGAGATTCAAAGTGGTGACACTGACCGGGCTCTCTTTTTATTTTTATTATTTTTAGAGAACAGACTGTGCCCACAAAGTCGCTAGCTTGGAATCCAGCTCAGGCCGCACTGAGCCCGCACTCTCTCACGACTCAGAACTCCGCACCATGAAACAGGACTTATCTCACATCTCCACCACCTGCCTGGGTCAGAGCTCCCCTTTGAAGAGGTTTCAAAGGAAAACAAGATAAGAAACACCTTTTCAGGAAAAAAATCCTTCCGACAGAGCGCTGTGATGTGAGAGTGAAGTGCCAGGCCGCTGGTATCTTCCGGAAAGTGCTCTCTTGTCTTCCTAATAGATGAGATGAGTAAACCTGCCTTTCCTTACAGAGGACTCAGGGCTCCTGGGGAGGAGGTGACCCCTAGATTAGCAACTGAGGGTGTCTGTTCTGCCCTGGATGGGGATCATTGCATGGGTGGGCAGGCAGAGGGGTCCCCTGTTAACTTTTAGGCCCTTAGGTATCCAGGAAAGATGCTGAAAAGAAGTGAGGCAGTCCCTTAATCTATGATTCATAGCCAGTTAGTAATTTACAAACCAGAGAGGACCTGGCCCAAACAGTTGAAGCTAATAATTATTCTAGTTAATTAATATTTAATATAATCAGTGTTAGGAAATACAGGTCTCAACTGGCTTATGGGAAACATATTAATTTTCAATACAAAATTCTGTTTCTGGGTCCCTCGCCTCCTGAATTAGATATTGGTCCTTAATCATTGTTGTTTGAGTTTTGCTCTTCTTTGGATGCATTTTTAAAGGAAAAAGTTGGGTGGAATGAAAAGGACCCTGCCTGAAAGGGAAACCCCTCCCTTTCAAAGGGACTTTTGCAAATCCCTTTTCCTCTTGGTTCTGGAGGGCTGGAAGCACTCTACCTGTTCTAAAGGAACAGAGAAGGTCCAGTACCTTAGATCCTTCATCCCCCAGATCTCAGAGCCTGCTTCTTCCTAACCATCCTAGGTGTGGGAGAGATTTTTTTTTTTTTTTTTTGAGACGGAGTCTTGCTCTGTCGCCCAGGCTGGAATGCAGGGGCCGGATCTCAGCTCACTGCAAGCTCCGCCTTCCGGGTTTACGCCATTCTCCTGCCTCAGCCTCCCGAGTAGCTGGGACTACAGGCGCCCGCCACCTTGCCCGGCTAGTTTTTGTATTTTTTAGTAGAGACGGGGTTTCACCGGGTTAGCCAGGATGGTCTCGATCTGCTGACCTCGTGATCCGCCCGTCTCGGCCTCCCAAAGTGCTGGGATTACAGGCTTGAGCCACCGCGCCCGGCCGGGAGAGATATTTTTGCTTCTGAGCCGCAATAACAACTTATATCAGTGCTATTAATTTGGCAACTAATCAAGGACTCCCTATGACATCTCTTTTACGGTCAGCCCTGGCTCACGCATTGGCTGATTTCTGGAAAGTGTGTTTGTAAAGAAACCAGGTAGATGGTACTCTGAACACATTTTTAAATAAAATTAGCATCAAAAATGTTGTTCTACTCCTGCAAATATCTATTTAGCACAAATTATGATTTAATTACAATCTGACACTGTCACCTATTATTGACCTGGCCACCTATTTTTATGTTGTTTCTGTATGAACATGTTCTCTGAGTTTCAATTTGGGATACTGGAAACACACTGTCCCCAACAGAAGCGAAAACTTCCTTCCCTAAGTGACTCCAAAAGCTTCTTCCAGGACCCCAGGATTTTGTCAAGGGGGTTGGGGGGGCCTCCATGGGGCACCTTCAGCTCTCCAAGAATTTCTGGGATAGATAATTGTTTCTACAGTAAGATGAAGGGTTTATGCACATTGGAAATCTTCTAGATGTTCCTAAATCAGGGACTGTCTCAACATACTTTTAAAATGTCACTAAGCATTTAGTGTTATTTTCGTTAAGATTTTTATGTATTTAGGTCTTACCTCTGCCACTAAACTGTAAGCTTCTTGAAGGCAGAATCAATATCTCCATCATCTTTTCATTACTCCCAGTAACCAGGTACATTATTGGCCTCAATGGATCTGGATTGATTCGATTTTCATTTGAATCTCATTGTTGTCTTGGAAGTGGTGATTTGACCTATTACATTTTAACAAGCAATTAAATAACAAATCTGTATATTAAGCAGTCCCTTTCCCCTCTGTTTCTTTTGCATACTGACAAAACAGCCTGTCATTGTGGTGCAAAACCACCCACAGAATCAGAGCACAGGTCAGGGCAGCCTCTGTGTGCCCTCTGCCCTGACACTGGCTGATGTGGTTTGGCTGTATTCCCGCCCAAATCTCATCTTGAATTGTGCTCCCATAATTCCCATGTGTTGTGGGAGGGACCTGGCAGGAGATAATTTGAAGGGGGGCGGTTCCCCCATAATGTTTTCATGGTAGTGAATAAGTCTCACGAGATCTGATGGGTTTATCATGAGTTTCCGCTTTTGAATCTTCCTCATTTTCTTTTGCCGCCACCATGTAAGAAGTGCCTTTCACCTCCTGCCATGATTCCGAGGCCTCCCCAGCCACATGGAACTGTAAATCCAATTAAACCTCTTTTTCTTCCTAGTCTCAGATATGTCTTTATCAGCAGCACAAAAACGGACTAATACGCTGGCCCAGGGCTGGTCTCATTCACCTGCCAAGGGTGCAGGAAGATGACACAGGTGTCATGCATGTGCATTTTGCATCTGCAGCTGTGCAGCAGATGGCAACTCTGACCCAGGCTACCTTGTTTATTCCCAGTGCATGTCAGTTGTCCTTTGTCAACCTGGCCTGTCTTGGCTCCAATTCTGGCTGCCCAGCCACTGTCATCCACTTCCCTCCAACCAAGCATGCACTTCTCTTTTTGAAAGTATGTACATCAAAGTCTTGGCATATGATGGGTGTTCTGGAGAGGAGCTGGGGCAGCATACATGTGGAGCTGACCTTCAGCCGGGAGCAGACTGGAACTGGTGATGTAATGCATGCTTCTATTTTCATGGGAAGGTTAACGAATCTTGTCTTCACTTTGCAAAACCTAAGAATTCAACAGAGTCAACTCTGCCTTACAAACTCTGTTAAATTACTGAGAGTAGTTTTTAAAAATATTTCTAGATCTTGAATCCTAAATGTATTTTTAATTATCATTTTTCTTCAATAATACATGTTTTAAATTTTAACATAAAAAAGACAATCTGACACAATTTTAATATTCTCTAAAGATTATTATAAGGATAGTGTGCAATGTGGAGAGATAAAGCCCTTTTTGTAGAATGAATACAATCATGACACAAAGATTTTCCATGTTTAGTATTGCTCAGTACATTATAAACACTAGCAAGTGGAATGCTATTTACATGAAGTTGAATAACTAGCCTTGATTCTTGGGCATCACTGTGCACAGAAAACAATGAAGTGGTTACAGTTGTTGCAGGTAAAGTTCCCGGTTTCACCAGAATTTCTCCAGGTTTTTGTTCCCTGTACTTTTTGTTTGCCTTGCTCCAATTCCATACTTCAGTACTATTCATTTATTTTAAACCCCTGTCCCCTTTTTACAAATGTAAAAATCTCATGCATTTTAAAATGTTGTTTAATATATCAAAATAAATTACATATCACGACTAAAAGCCAGTTTAAACAATGGGCTATGCATAGCCTTGACATCAATCTATGTTCCCCAACTCCAGACACCACCCTCTGCCCCCAGCAGATCCTCCCGGGGAGGTGGAGAGGCAATGGCCCATTCCCACAATCAGGAGCTACTACCATATAGGATCAGGGCAGGAACATGCTACAGGAAGACAAAAAGCAAAACATAATTGCTGAGTAATTCGTTGATCAGTTAATTGACTTTTTTAAAAATAGGGTAGTTGACAGGAAGGTAAGCCAAGTTGAAAAAAAAAAAAAGAAAGAAAGAAGAAGGCAGGGATAGGAGATTGTTTTCTGCAGCTGGGAGAGCACTTGCTGGAGAGTGGCATGGCCCAGGAGTTCACTGAAGGGAGTGGGGAAGAAGCAGAGAGCGGAGACACCCATTTTTACCAGATTTTCAAACAAGCAGCCCACCCTGAGATGCACTTTGTATTTGTCCCCACCCCGACGTCCACCATCAAATGAAGAGCAGGTTTTTCTCTCCTCTCTCCTTTCTCTTTTTCTTCTTTCCCTCCTGTTTCCTTTCTTATTTTTTAAAAACAGCTTTGTTGGGATATAATTCACATATCTTACAGTTCACCCATTTAAAGTGTACAGTTTAATGGTTGTTCGTGTTTTCAGAGTTGGGCAACCATCATCACAATTTTTTCCATTTCCTTTGTTTTTTATTCATATATAATAATTTTTTTTTTTTTTTTTTGAGATGGAGTTTCGCTCTTGTAGCCCAGGTTGGAGTGCGATTGCACAATCTTGGCTCACTGCAACCTCTGCCTCCCGGGTTCAAGCAATTCTCCTGCCTCAGCCTCCGGAGTAGCTGGGATTGCAGGCTTGTGCCAACATGCCCAGCTAATTCTTGTATTTTTAGTAGAGACGGGGTTTCACCATGTTGGCCAGCTAGCCTCGAACTCCTGACCTCAGGCGATTCCCCGCTTCAGCCTCCCAAGGTGCTGGATTACAGGCGTGAGCCGCTGCCCCCGGCCTCATATATAATAATTATATACTTTTGGGGTATGAGTGATATTTTGATACATGTGTGCAATGTATAATCATCAATTCAGGGTGCTTGGTCTATCCCTTACCTCAAACATTGACAATTCTTTGTGTTGGAGACATTACAATTCTTCTCTTCTAGCTATTTTGAAACCTACCCTAAGTTATTGATAACCGTAGTCTTCCTATTGTAGCACTGAATACTAGAACTGATTCCTCCTGTGTTCTGCCTGCCCTAAAAGCTCTCCCTTCAGTGCCCCTTTCTCCTGCCTCCTGCCCCAGTTAACTCTAGGGTTTTGCCCACAGCACAGCACCGAGGATGCTGCTCACAAACAACCTCTTCCCGCAAGCTTCATCCATCCAGGGCAGGTGAGAAAGATGGTGGCACAACCAGATGCCCATGCCATGAAGGGGAGAGACAGGAATAGTTGAGCCACATGAGTTGCTACAAATGCCATAGATCCCGAGTGAAACGCCACATCCCAGACATGTGCCAAGCCTGTGCCAAGGTGTGTGAACACCAGCAATGAAGAGTGAAGACAATATTGCTTTGTCCAGTACACACATGTGGGGTTTGTACACAGCTCTGTTGGGGGAAGAACATCTTTAGATTTGCAAGCTAAAAATTATTGTTACCTTGAGTCTTTCTATACCCCCTTTTCCCACCAAAAATTTCTTCCTTGGAACAGTGGCAGCTGGTGATGACAGGCATGGTGTCAGAGGGAGGGCTGGGTGGGAAAGAGAAAATGGGCCTGCCCTTGGCTGAATCGACCTAATGAAACATGATGGAACATTCACAAGACGTTTTCTTCTGAGATTGACAAGGTAAGGCCCGCTTTTCCGCCTCCTCTGGGTCTCTAATTGAGTGTGAGTAATGAATATACATGGAGAGCAGCCCTGTCAATGTGCAAGGATTTTGCATTTTGCATTTGGATGCTGCAGCGCCACTCTCTGCCTCTGTAGTTTGGGAGAGGAAAGGGTGGCCGACCACATGCTCCCAGTTACCCACAAAATCCTGTCAAGGTCATACATTGGTGAGGATTTGATAAAGATTGAGAAAGAACTGGATGTAGCTAACAGGAGACGTCTGAATAAAGGAGGTGTGATTTCAGACGATGAACAGCCACGTGCTACCTTGACGAAATTAACCAGGTGCTCAGGGCTCGTGGTTACTTACTTGGACACCAGGTTTATCGACTTAGGACAGTGAGTGCCAGAAGTGGACTTATTCAAATCTCTGCATTTTTCATTATGTTGCATGTGGTTTTTAAGATCAAGAATTAATTTACTTCATAAAAAGTTGTTTTATTTGCTTTTTTTTTTTTATCTGTTTCTAATTTAAATATTTTTAAAATAACCAGGCACAGTAGATCGTGTCTATAGTCTCTGCTACTTGGGAGGCTGAGGCGGGAGAATTGCCTGAGCCCAGGAGTTCGAGGCTGCAGTGAGCCATGATCATACGATTACACTCCAGCCTAGGCAACAGAGCAAGTCCCCATCAATAAATAAAATCAGATAAAATAATCTTGATGTTACCTCACATTTTTAAAAAATACGTTTCCTTTATTTTGCGTTTTTATATTTTCAAGTAGAAGAACCAGTCATATAAGGTTTTTAGATACATTTGTAAAATTAGAATCAGTGAAAATTTCATTAGATTCTTCGGAATTTGGCTAGTCAGCTTCTTCTCTTTCTAAAATAAAATAATCATTTTCTGAATAAAGAAATGCGTTTTTAATTACAAAGTTAACTGTAGGGTTTCATGGTATATTATTTTAATTCTCTGAAAGTCAGTCTAAACCAACCACTGTTCTTAATTATTTCATGGCAACTTTGAACCTGGGAATATTTCTTATTTCTTCTATACTTATTTAAAAATAATTCTGTAAGATGCTTCATAAAAGATTAAATCATACTTTTATTTATTTTTTTTTTTTTGAGACAGGGTCTCACTCTGTTACCCAGACTAGAGTGCAGTAGTGCAACCTCGGCTCACAGCAACCACCACCTCCCAGGCTCAAGTGATTCTCCTGCCTCAGCTTCCCAAATAGCCGGGATTACAGGTGCGCACCACTACCGCCTGGCTAATTTTTGTATTTCTAGTAGAGACGGGATTTCACCATGTTGACCAGACTGGTCTTGAACTCCTGACCTCAAATGATCCACCCACCTCAGCCTCCCAAAGTGCCGGAATTACAGGAGTGAGCCACTGCACCTGACCAATCATGCCATTAAAACATATATTTCAGTTGTCAGAAAAATGTGTTACTATTTGGAAAACAAGAAAATTGATGTAATAAAAAAATAAAAACACTGTAGATGGATACTTGAAGATATCCTGGCCATATCTCTCTGAACTTGATATTCCATATCAAATATTGGGATTCTGTTTTTGACACATAATAGACAAGAGGCTGAAATACACAATTAAAATAAAGTTAAAAACCCAATTTATCTTATATCCTTGAAAAA